TCCCTCCCTGGGCCCTGGGGGCCCCGCTGGGTTTCCCTCCCTGTGCCTCCCCTCCGTGCAGCTCCCACGTAATTTCAACAGCTCTGCTCGACCCATGCCCCGCGGAGTTGCCACGGGGGGCTCCTGTCCTGGGTAGTGATGGGGGGCGCTGAGCTGGGGGGGGCGCATCCTCCCGTCCTCCCTGTGAGGAATCCGCTCGGCCGGCGTCTCGCTGCTGCCCGGCATCCCCCGCCCTCGGGCACCCCGGGGAGGGTTCCCCCTTTCCCCCTTTCCTCGGCCCTTGAAGCAATTGCTCCGCTCAGCACTCGCCGCTTCCCACCCGCAGGGCTGAACCTGTGGGGCTGCCCCGACACCCCATCCTAGCCAGGAGTAACCCCAAGGGCAGGACGAGGAAAGTTCCTCGATGAAACCTTTCCATCTGGGTCACCTGCTACTGCTGCTCCCTTGTAGCAGAGGTGAAAGCGGGGTGCTGTCACCATCACGTAGAGGACAGGTCCTCTGTTAGTCCCAGAGGCATCCAAGCTCTCTCCTGAACAGGACTATTCTATTCAGTCAGAGTATTTCATCCCAATTCCCAGTTCTCTGAGCCTTTTCTCCTCTTCTCCCCAGGAGCTAGCCAGGTAGGAAGAATAAAGCACCCCAAGCAGGTGAACAGTGCCATCACCTGCCAAGGCAGACACTGGATTTATCTGTGGATGGCAAATCTTTGGATCAACACAGGGGTCTCTAAGGAAAATACTTATGGAAAGCATTTTCACTGGGGATGACAGGAGTGAACTGTTTCCAAACCCTCAGAAAAGTTCAGGCTCAACACCTGAGTGCTCTGCTTTCAGTCCCACCTTGAGAGGAGAGGCTCAATGCCTTTCCCCATTGTCACAGGTCAGTTCAGTTGTTCCTCTGCCTTCTCCCGAGAAGGGCAGGAAGGGGGGTGGGAGGGGGCCTCATCCAGCTGCAAAGGTCAGGGATGAGGGACCAGGAGGTTTTCTCTCAGAAATTCCCACTTGCAACTACTCCTTCCCTCCCTTGGGGTCTGGGCAGAGGGAAGTGAGGCCTGACTGTCCCTGTGGTGCTGGGAGCCACAGGGCAGGAGAGGAGGGACTGGAGCAGGAGGAGGGAGTTGTCCTGGATAAACTCCAGGTCAGGGGTGAGAGGAGCCTTGGGCTCACTTGGAAATGGTGTCAAGGCAGGGGAGAGGCCTTTCCCTAAGCAAGAGAGACTCCTGTGCTCTGGGACCTCTGTCTCCTCCCTCACAGAAGTTAAGTTTATCCTCCAGAGTGGTCTCCTTCCATTGCCCCCTTTTTCAAAGGCCTCAAAGCCACTCATTCCCCAGGAACCCTGTTTGTTCTTCATAGGATGAGCAAGCCAGGACCAGCTTTCCCTCCTCTGCTCTCATCCCTGCTATCTGTCATGACCAGGGACACTGTGACCATGTCTCAGTGCTGTCTGTGAGCTGCCTGAGCTGCAAGGTCCCACTCCTGGCTCTGTGCTGCTGGCCAAAATCCACAGCTCAACCCTGCAGCTCTTGCTCACTTTGGGAGCTTCCTCACCTCTGGGAGCAAATCATAGCCTGCAAGTCTGTTTGTGTGTGTTTTATTCTGTGTAGGGAGCATTTAACTCGGGCTTGCAGGGAGCCCTCACTGCAGCGTGCCCCAGTTTGCTCCTGCAGCAGGAGTGAAGGGCTGGGTCCCAGCCCTGAGGGTTTCCCCGTGGCTGGGCAGTGTCCTCCAGCTCTGTTTGCCGTGCTGAGGGGAGGATGGACCCAGCTTCCCACAGGAATATGCTCCAGCCCCACAGCAGGCCTGGCAGGGATCTGTGTGCTGCTGCAGTCCCAGTGGGGTGGTGCTGGTCCAGAGAGCAGAACCAGGCAGGGGGCAGAAAGGGAATGCTAAAGGCAACTGGGAATTCTTTAAAATCAAAGCCCCAGTGCTCCAGGGCTGGCCTCTGCAGGGTGGATGGAGCACAGAAATCTCCTTGCCTGCTCTCTTGCTTTTTTTTTTTTTTTTTCCTTTTTTTTTTGCAAAGTCCTGACTTTCTCACTCCCTCCCTGTTTCCCTTCTGCTTTCCTTCCACACTCCTCCTGTGAGGGTCGAGCCAGTGTTTAACTCTTTCATCCTTATAGCAATTCTTTAGTGGCTTTGGGAATACCCCTAAGCCCCAGGTGGGGCATCTCCCTGCCAGCCTTCAACTGGAGCTGCCTGTGCTGGGCACAGAGGCACGAGTCTGGTGTAAGGAGGAAAACAGTGGAGGACTTGTCCCTGTCAGTGTTGGGGCTGGCTGTCCCTGCTGGTGGAGGTGCCCTCAGACTGCAGCTGGGATGCTTTTCCCTTCAGCATCCTGAAAAAGGCATGGAAATGGTCCCCTGATCCCCCGAACAGATTTGAAGGGCGAAATCTGCCAACTGCTCAGTATATTGATTCAAATGCATTATTCCTCCCCGGGCAGGTCCCTGCCCTGGGAAAGGAGCAATCAGTGCAGGTGCAAATAGCTTTTAATTGCAGAATGCATCTCGCCATGGAGGCATTTAGGCTGGATATGATACAACTGATAGAGCAGCAGCCGGAGGAAGCCCAATAAGCCCGAGCTCTGCAGGAGCCAAACTGCTCCTGTGCCGTACCTATGGCGTAAATATTCATGTGTGGCTCTGTGTCCGTGTTCTCCCACATCTCCCTGAGATATGACACAGTAGCACCGTGTCAAGATTCAAATGGCATCTTCGGGGAATGTGAAAACTTGCTGTCTGTGACAGTTTCTGTGCGAGGATGCAGAATGCTGGGGATGTGGATGTTTTGTGTGTGGACTCACCTAAAGGCAAGGATCGGGGGCAGTTTCTCAGCGCCAGTGAGGCGCTCTGTGCCTGCTCTGGAGCCCGAGCTCTCTCCCCGAGGCTCAGCTGTGGGCTCGGGCGGCTGTGCCACACAAAGTGATGTACAGGTGGTTGGGAAGGGTCCTGCCTAGCTGTCGGGCTGCCGTGGGGTGCCTCTGGAGCTGTGGAGTGCTGCTGATAGCCTGGGCTGGCTGCTCTCCAGGCCCTTGGCTGGCTCCCGGCCGGGGGATGCAGCCCGGGGGGCTCCGCCGCCCTTTGCGGGGCTCCGCAGCCCCGGGAGGAGCGGACAGCGGCCGCCCGCCCCTGCGCCTCCGATCGGGGAGCGGGGCACCGAGGGACCCGGCGGCCATTCAGGATAGCCCAGACACTTCAGAATTCCCCGCTGCGTGTGACACCGCCGGAGAGAGGGCGAGGAGCCCGGCGTGCCGGGAGGCGCGGGGTTTTGTTCCATTATATGTGCAAGGATGGGCGAGCCTGTGTTTGGGGAGGCACAACCCAGGCCGCCGGCACCGAGAGCTCCTTCCGCGGCAAGAGCTCGTGCGAGAGACGAGACGGGAGCGGCTCGGGCAGGGCAAGGATGAAGGGTGATGCGGGGACAGCGGGAGCCCGCGGAGGGATGCGGGACTGCGCCCGCTCAACCGGCCCGGCTCTTCCCTAGCGAGGACAGGAACTGGTTTTATTATAATTATTATTTTCCCTGAGAAAACAAAAATCGGACTTCCTAGGGAAAAAAAAAAAAGAAAATCAAAAAATAACTTTCACCGCGAACTGTCCTGTTCGGAAATCGCGTGCTTGTGGAGCAAAGCAGCGCTCGCTGCCGGGAGCGGGGCAGGAGCCGGCCCGAGCGGCGGGGATGCAGCGGGGCTGCGGCGGGATCGCTGCCCCAGCCGCGCTCCCAGCGAGGGACAATCCCGGGCTCGGGCACCGGGCACGGCCGGCGAGCGCGGGGCATGCCCAGCTTCGGGCAGTCGCGGTGGGCAGCCCGGCGCTGCCGGCGGATCCCGGGGAGAGCGGGGAGGGCTCAGCCGCACTCAGCGGTGCCGGCTGCGGGCCGTGCGGAGCGCGGTGCCCCCTGCCCAGGGCCGTCCCCGGGCGCCGGGGGGCCGGGGCAGCCCCCGCGGGGCCGGTGCCCGAGCTGCCCGCGGCGCTCCCGAACAAAGGCGCGGCCGCGCCGCACCGGGCCCGCCCCCGGCGCTCCGGGGCAACTTTCCCCGGGGCCGGCCGCGCCGGGGGGCGGGTCTATGCTAATGAGGGAGGCGTGCCCCCGCCCCCTCGGCGGCGCTTTGCCGGCGCTCATTGGCGGCGGCGGCGCGGGGGCGGGGCGGTGACGCGCTGCAAATGAGGGGGCGTGTCCGCGGCGGCCCCGCCCCCCGCCCGCCGGGGCTGCGGGGCTCGTGTTCGGCGGCGGGGACAGTCAAAGTGGCTCCCATAGGGAGAGACGGCGAGTCCGCCCGGCGCTGCGGGAGAGGGAGGGGGCACGGGGAGCCCCAGGGTCTCCCTCCGGCCGTCCGTCCGCGCCGCCGCCGCGGGTGCGCCCCTCTCGCTCCCTTCCCGGCGTGCGCCCGGCTCCGGCAACTCGCTTCCTGCGCGGCTGGAGGAGGGAGGAGAGAGGAGAGGAGCGGAGAGCGCTTCGGCTGGGAGAGGAGAGAAGAAAGAGGGAGAAAAGAAAGAAAGAAAAGAGAGAGGGGAGAAGGGGGGGGACTTGCCTCTCTTGTCACTGGAAAATGACACTTGATGTAGCAGAGCCTGCCGCAGCTCCCGTTCGTCCTATTGTTTCTTAAACTGCCATCTGAGATTTTTTTTTTTTTTTGCCTGCTGCCATCCGAGGGGTGTCTTCATACAAAAGGGACTTCAAGTACTCCTCCGGCTTGCGAGCGCTGCAACCAGCCCCCAGCACCCCGCCAGCCCCTCCAAGCACCCAAACAAACTGCACACGCAGCAAACAGCAGCAACAAAACCGGGCTCTGATTGCCTCTGGATTTTTTTTTTTTTTTTAATGTGCGTGCCTGTGTTTGCTTTCTCCGACTTGCTTTGATTCCAGCGATCAGCTGCAGAGAGAGGAAAAAAAGAGAGAAAGAAAGAAAAAAACCCCACATATAACAGTCCGCCTGGCGATTTTATCACTTTTTAAAAATTTTGAATAAAGGAGGAAGATTTGCGCTGTTGTTTCTGATTCATGTTTGGGATTCAGGAAAGCATCCAGCGGAGTGGGAGCAGCATGAAGGAAGAGCCCCTCGGCGCGGGGATGAACGCGGTGCGGACGTGGATGCAGGGAGCCGGCGTCCTGGACGCCAGCACGGCCGCTCAGAGGTAGGCAGGCTCCGCGCCCGCTCCGCGCCCGCGCCCCGCTCCGCGCCCCGGGGCGCTCCCCGCCCGCAGCGCCTTTCCCCCCGCGCCAACAAAAACCCGGCTCTGGAGCGCTGCTCCCAGCAGTGAGTTTCGCGTAGATGTCGCCAGTTAAATATTTATCCCTATTGTCCCGTAGGAATGACTTTTTATTAAATAATGATAACAACAATAAAGGAAGTGGCGAGTTTCGCTAGGTACGGATAGGTAGGTTTCATCTCTCTGGCTCCTTGTGTTCGCTCGGAGGAAGGAGTTTTCAAAACTGTGTTTGCTGCTGATTTAGTCTTAAGATCTTCAAATGACACTTTCCTTCTCCGGAAAACAGAGAGTTGTGCACGGATGTATCCAAAATATATTTCTCTACCTCGCTTTCCTATTCCCGTCAGAATCAGCAGCTCCTCTTCTTCTCCTCCGATAAGTAGGGAGTTTACAAAGCGTACTCCAGGAGAAATTTAATTTGAAGTCCCTTTGTAAAACCACTGCCACTTATCTCAGATTTTTAAAAAGAAATCCCTCCAAATATATGATGGGTTCGGCGAAGCTGCGCCCATCCTCGTTTTCTCTATTATTTCTCCTTCTTCCCATCCTCTTCCCCACGAAAAAAACCCAAACCCAAACACGAACCAAAGCCTGATGCTGGATTCGCAGCTTGAGCCCTGGAGCCGGCATCATCCGGCATCAGTTTAATGTTGACATCTCCCAGTGTCTCCCACCTCGCCCCGCACCCCCCCTTTGGAGCCCTCTAAGGAAGGGAAAGTTTCTGCAGGGACAACCCTGAAATATTTGAAGTTGTCTCCCGGGCTCGGTGTTTACCCACCGCTCCGGCGCGGGAGGAAAGGCTCGCAAGATAAGGCACATGGGCGCTGGTGTGACAGCTCCGAGCCGAGTTTGAGAAGTGGCAGGACCGATGCTGCTCCGCGGGGCAACGCGCCGGCGGCTCTGAGCGCGGCTCCCCCGCCATGCAGGGCCGGCTGCGAGCGGGCACGGCCCCCGGGGAGGGCTGGTGGGTACCGGGGCCGGCCTGGGGGTGCTCCTGGGGGCTTCGGGCCGGCCGCAGGACGGGATGGGCTCGGGGCTCCGCGGGGTTCGGAGCTGGAGTATTTCTCCATGGCCGGAGGGAAAAGCCCCGGGGCGGCTCGGGGGAGGGAGGGATGCTCTGCCCCGGGGGGGCCCAGCCGGCTCCCGGCGGGGGAAGGCACGGGCCCGGGAGGCGGCTGGGGGGTGCGTGAGGCCGCGGCGTCGGAGCTGCCGCTAACCCGCGTGTTTCTGGTCCCAGCGGAGTGGGTCTGGCCCGGGCTCACTTCGAGAAGCAGCCGCCTTCCAACCTGAGGAAGTCCAACTTTTTCCACTTCGTCCTGGCTCTGTACGACCGGCAGGGGCAGCCCGTGGAGATCGAGCGCACCGCCTTCGTGGGCTTCGTGGAGAAGGAGAAGGTGAGTACCCTGAGTACCCTGGTGCCCCGTGGGGGCTCGGCCGCCTCTCCGGGGCCCTCCCCGCTCCGCTCCCTCGGGGCCGCGACACCGGCTCGTCCCGGGAGCCACGGCATCCTCCCTGGCGCCTCAGTCTTTCCCTGTCCCGGAGGGCAGACGAGGAGGGGATGTCCCCCGTTCCCTCGCTATGCCCGGGGCAGGACAGAGGGCTGAGAGCTGCCCCATCCAACCCCGGGGACACCCGGCGTGCGAGTGATGGAGAAGCTCCATTGATACTGTTTTCTTTTTCCCTCCGGCCTCCCGTGTCGTCTTTGACTTCAGGAAGCCAACAGCGAAAAGACCAACAACGGGATCCACTACCGCCTGCAGCTGCTCTACAGCAATGGTAAGGGCTGCGAGTCCCCCCGTTGTGCGGAACCCAGCAGCGCCCGGGTTCCCCCGGTTCCCCTCCGCTCCCAGCGCTCGCTGCCGGGACACGGGCGGCCCCGGCAGGCCCGAGCCCTCGGGCGAGCCCCGGCGCGCTGCTCACGGCTGTGCCTTGTTTCAGGGATCAGGACCGAGCAGGATTTCTACGTGCGACTCATCGACTCCATGACCAAGCAGGTGGGTGCTGCGGGGCGGCCGCCGAGCGGGGGGGGTGGCAGCCGTCGGGGCGGCCCCGGGAGCCAAACCCGCCCCCGCGGCGGGGCCGCTCTGCCCGGCGGGGACGGGACGGAGCCTCCGCCTCCCACGGGCACGGCCGCGCTCCGCTCCGGGCGACCACCGGGCTGCGGGGCGGCCAGCGGCTCCCCGCGGGACCCTGCCTGCTGCCGGGCTGCGGGGGAAAAATACAGGCGACCCTCCACGGCCCCAGTCAGGGCTGCGGATGGTTTTGCCGCTTAATTAATAAGAATTAACCTCCGGCCTCCGGCGGCCCCCAGCGCCGCCAGCACAGGCGCTGCCCGGCGCGGGGCTCTGTCGGTCCGGCCGCTCCCGGCGCTTCCGCCGGCCGCAGGAGGAGCGGTTGTATCGCGACACATTCGCGTGTCGGAATAAACCCCAGAATCGCGGCGCGGGCAGCGGCGAGCTCGGTGTCGGGCTCGGGGAGGGCAGCAGGGCTTGTCAGTGGATTAATCCTCATTTTAAGCCTGTTCTTTAGCCTCCCAAACAGAGTAATAACGTGCGTGCTTACCTGTAAAAAATACTTTTCTGTTTAAAACCAGTATTTTTACAAAGGGACTATCTGAGCGAATCGATTCTCTCTCTCCTTTCTTTTTTTTTTTTCTTTCCCTTTTTTAATTGTTGCTCTGGTTTTTTTTCTGCTCCTGTCAGAATATTTTTCTCTTAGAATATGTTTCTTGAAATAGTTGGGATCGCTTTTGAGCGTTTTAATTCTTAAAATATGTTTCTTCCCCTCCTAATCTGTTTTACTTGTTAAAGAAAATTCTTAAATTTTATTTAAGAAAAACATTAAGGGTTTTTTTTTTTTTTGTACCGCTAGGAAACGTCAGTCCTTGTATGTTGTCTGTAAGGACAAAACTCTTGGCTTGTATTTGGGTTTCTTTTCTACAGCAAAACATAAAGCACTAAGGGCTGAGTTTGTTTTACAAAACTCTCTTTGATGGTCCCAAAACATCTTTTCCTGCTATTGAAGACTGTCTTTCAACAGAAAAAAAAAAAAAAAAAAAAGAAAAAGGGAACTTGGGTGAATTTTACTAGACAATCCACTATGCATCTGAACTCTGTTATACTGTACACTTCCAAACGGAGCCCGTTCCTTGTAGGAATTAAACCAGCAGCCACATACCCTTCTTCTTAAAAAATCCTGGAAAGCGTTTGCTGTCATTCCCTGGTTTTCAGGCACAAATTGGTTAGTTTGTGTTAAAAGTAACAAAATCTTCCTGAGATATGAACTCTTTTTAGTCCTTTTGGAGTTTGTGTATTTCAGTGTAGATTGTGTGAGAGAGACTATCAATAAATATTATCTTTAAATAGCTTTCCTATCGTTACGGAAATGCAGAAGCCTCTGGTCATAATCCTGTTGAAAACAGAGCCCTGAACTCATGGAGAGCAGTGGATTCAAAATAATTTTCTTAACAAAGGCATCTTGCATATGAAGAGTTCATCCTAAGGCACTGTTTGACCTCTTGGTCTCTCATTATTATCAAGTCATCAGAGGGTCTTTGGAGAGAAAGGGGAAAAAGAAAACCCCGAGATACAGTTTATTTGTAAGACCTACCGTGTAGCTTTAAAGCACGTTCACAATGAAGAAGCAGGAGAAAAAAAAAAATCTGTCTGATTTCAGGAAGTCTTAGAAAAAGAAAGTTAGGGCAAATTACAGATTTTGGGAAAAGTGCAGTGGGGTTGAGAAGCGAGGCTTTTAGAACAAAAGCTCTCTGAGCTTAGATTAGAAAACGGGGAGCAAAAGGCTGTTTTAGATGCAAACATGTTTGCTTACATATTAATTTCATATCTGTAGTTTCTTTAGGCATGGCTATAATTGCTTATGAAAAATAGGGCATTGTCATGTCAAAACTGTGGCATGTGCCGCTCTGAATTTTTTTGGGGGCCAGACGCTAAATTCTCCTTCTTGTCCTTTTTTAATTCTTTCTTTTCAAAAGTGAAATTATTTCAGAGTTGGGATCGCGTCGGTTACTGAATGCTTATTAGGAAGTGAAGTACAACACATGACAGAAGCTCACCCAAATGTTGAATATATCATTTATATTTTATGACAGTGAATTATATAGAAGATTCTCAAGTAACTTTCAAATCATCAAACTGTAATTAAATATTGCAAAGACTGTCTGAAAATTCTTTAATTTTTAATGAAAGTTAAATATATATTGTCAGTCTACTTGAAGGTGTAGTATTTTAATGCATGACGCTCAGAACAAATTGGATAATGAAATGATTACTTTTAAATGAAACTGTTGCAGAAGCATACACGTTTCAGCTGGCAAGTATCTGCTCAGTCCTCACACACGCACATTCACACACTCGATAATTGTGAATTCCCAGACTGAAATTACAGCTACTCTGAGGTTTCTGGTGGCAAATTAAAAATCCCACAGAAGCAAAGCTTGAATGAGTTAGGTTCCCCAGATCATACAGGAAAGTATCTGTGGCTTTTTTTAAAATATTAATTTTTTGTTATTATTTTTTAATACGGACACATCAGATTTAAATATATTCTCTTTGTGTCACAGTTACAAATTGCGAGGTTTTGTACGGTTGCAGATTATTAAGTTAGGTAAGATAAAATAAAAGCCCTTCTGCAGTTCAGACTTGGATTTCTGTGCATAGGATTGCTGCTCAGAGATTTAATGTGAATGTCCCATTAGCAGCATGTGTTATAGCAGTAGGTAGGCAGGGCTTGGCTATGCTGGGGGCTGTGTATGTACCAAAGAGGAGATGTTCCTGCTCCTCAGTGTTCCTGCTCTGCCTAAGTCAGGGATTTGTTTGTGTGGCTGTGCCCAGCTAAGAAACTCATAGCAAGAGTTGTGTCCTGGGTGGAACAGAGGGATCTCCGTGTCCTGGTGCGTGTGTGTTTCTCTGTCAGCTGTGGAGCAGGATGGGAAGTGGGGCTGGAGAGTGGCACTTCTGAGGCGGCCAAGAGCTGTGTTGGGAGCTGCATCCCAGGGCAGAGCTGGCTGGGGGATGAGCTGTGCACGCGCTGCCCCGAGCAGGAGCTTGGGCTGCACGGGCATTCCTTGGGAAACGGGGCTGTGGGACTTCCAAACGGGAAACCCAGCCAGGATTGGTCTCAGAGTGCCTCATTTTGGGGTGTGTTTGGGGAGCTGTGCTTTGTTGGTGGCCCCCGAGAAGCGCTGGGTGAAATGGGAATTACGTGGCTTTCGGGGTCTCGCTAAGTTTCTGAAATGTGTCCCCGTCACTTAAAAATTGTAAATGTTACACACAAATCATTCCTGTGGCAGAGAAGTTCCTTCCAGTTCAGGCAACAACATTCGGTGTCAATACTGGCTTAATTAAATTTTCTTTTATGTTATATTGGCACCTCATTTTATGTCAGGATCACATTCCTAATGCGCTCAAAACCCTGTAGGACCCCAAACTTTATAGCTGTTGCTTTCCGTAAGGCAGCGGCTCCTCCCGCAGAAGATCTGCCTCTAACAATGATGCATTTCAAAATTGCCTGCAAAACGTGAAATATGTCTGCTCTAATAAAACTGGAGTTTTTAGGCAACTCAAGGGATTTTAATATGTTTGTGGAGAAGAGATGCCTTCTATTTCTTCGGCTGTATTTTCATAAAGTTGAGGTATTTCACTATTAGGAAAGATGGAGGAAATAAATCTGAAATACTTGTTCCCCACCCATTTTTCCTTCAGTTATTCTCATCCATGAGATATAATGGATGCTAATATGGCTCAGGCATCTTAAGAATCATAAGTTTTTCTCGATGGCTATTGTCTATTGCTGAGAGAACTCATGAGTCAAAAATCCTTTCTTCAGACTTAAACCCTGTTTATATTTGGATTTTTTTTTTCAGAGCTATAACTCTGGATGCAAATGGTTTTTCTGTTGACTTGTCTGTCATTCTCTGATGTCTGCAGATATTTGATCAGCTCTATTCTGTGCATGGCATGGCCCTTCTCTGGCAGCTACAGGCATGGGAAAAAAAAATGTTATCAATAAGTTCAGCAGACTCAGAGAAATTTCACACAAACATAAAACAAAACCTAACCCCTGTGACGGGGAAAGTTTACATTGCACCAGATTTTAGCAGCTTTCTTGTGCCTTTGGTGAGATGTCAGAAGCGCAGGTGATTTTAATTTTCTTGTACAGAGAGGAATGGAGAAGTTTGGAATTTGCATGCATGATCAGGACCTGTGTTTGGGAAAATGTAAACTCATCACAGTGGAAAATGTGTTGTTTGGAGTCTGAGGGTGAAAACAAAGCTGAGGATTTTGGAGAGACTGCCTGAGCCAGATGGCCTGGTGCATTCCCAGTCTGGCAGCCCAACTGCTCCCTCCTGTATAATATACAGCCATTTGTTCTGGGATATTTACGCTAGAGCTGTTTCCATGTGAATGTTTGAAAACCATTAAAAATGAACATATTAGGAGAGATAAATTTATTTAATTTGTGTGAATACGTCGATAAGCAGGCTGTGAATCAAAGGCAGAGGGAGACTGGATAAAATAATTAGATGCTTCTGAATTGTGTGTGGAGAGGCAGAGCAAGAACTCCCTGTCCTCGCCCCGGGACCAGCTCCGCGCTGCTTGTCCGGGATAAACCTCCCTGGGATGGGTCGAGGTTTTGCCTGGGGAAGGGGTAAAACCTCGGGTAATTGAGGGTTAAGGATTCAAATCCAAATAAATGTAATTCACAGTATTTTCTCTGTAGATATACAGTGGATACAAGCCTAATCCTCTCTGGGTGAAATTCTGGCCCATCTGAAGTCAATTGCAAAGCGCCTATTGAATTCGGTGGGGCCAGGATTTTATTTTCTCCCTGTGTGTACAGCTGTAAACGTCATTCCAAATCATTTTAGTTCTGTTTTGGAAAAGACCCTAATTTTAATGAGTTTTCCCTTCTCTTTTATTTCGGTAAGGGAGATACTTTGTTTTGTGAGGCAGATGGAATCTGAAAGCAAGTGGATTTAGATGCACATTGGTGATTTCTCTCCTTCTCTTACTCTTTTAAAATCAAGGCCATGACATAACTGAGTAATATAATGACCATGATCTCATTTCTTCAAGATTGTTTTTCGTCCAGTTCTGAAAGCAGGATTGCTTGACTGGCAAACTGACACCACGAGACGATTCTGCCCTCACTTGTACCAGCATAAATCTGGATTTATTCAGGAATGGTTAAGAACAAAATCAGTCTCTGTATTTTTCCGGCTTGTTTGTAGATTATTTTATTGCTTTATCATACTGCATCTACTGGGGAAAAAGTAGATTAAATGAGAACTGTAGCCTTGACTTGTATATTGCCCCCATTCCTTTTTATTTTTTTATTTCTTATTTTTTTTTTTTTTTAATACTGAAGTCTGCCACTGAAAAGTTTAGGTGAATTTTTGGACGTATTTGACTGTGATGCGCTCAATGCAGTAGCTTTTATTTGCTGTTAAGCAGTGAATTGAATTTGATTTAACTTTTTATGCAGCTTTATTTAAATAGAAGTAAGGAAGTCTCATATTTTTGACACAAATTTTTCGGGGCCGGATTTTGAGGTCCGTTTGTGCATGAGTGACTGTTACTCACTGGGACTTCTTGCAGGAAGGTTACTTGGGTGAGTAACAGCTGGCAAAATGGAAGATAAATTTTGTGGGGGAATGTTTAAGTTGTTCAGGAGAAGAAACGCTATTTTCAAGCGCTTACGAATTACCACCGAGTTAAAACGACATGAAGTAAACAAAAAGAAAAAAACCCAAAGTCTATAATTTTGCATTTCCTTTGCCGGTGTTTTGTTGTGCAACTCTGATGTGTATCTGCAGGCTTATTTTTAGCTCTGCTGTGGTCTAAGTTTATGCACTGTAACTTTCACTTTGTCTCTCATTAATGTGATCCCTATTTGAGAAAATCACGACGACGTTAGTGCAACGGGGAACCCTGACGCAATCTCCCTGTTTCAAAACCTGAACTTAAAAACCGCTTAATTTATTAAAAAAAATCAAGATATTTTTGTTAAAAAGAGCAGCTTCTCAAATCCGAGAGTTAAACATTTTCACAACAGTAACGTAGTAGACCCTTCCTGTAAAAATACTTCTGGCAGCTCTAACGATCTGAAACTTTAGCAGTTCCTGTTTCCTTTTTGAAACTAATTGTAGAATTAATGCTTCAGAGCGGCACGGTTTGCGAGGCGGTCGAGTATCTGCAGGGCTCTCGGGCAGCCATTCATGGGGGCAAACACTTGGTGCTTCACACAAGTAAATGGGGGACACAGGAGTGGGGAGATGGGGATGAGCTGCTCAGGAATGAGCAGTCATTTCAGCCCCCAGCGCGTCCTCCCGCTCCCCAGAATTTCCTGGGAATTCCTGCAGGAATAGGGTAGGCAAGAGGAGCCGCGTTTGACGCGGAGAAAACAAAGTGTGCACGGGTGCAACTTCGATAATTGAATGCAAATAAAGTGAGAAGCAAATCCTTAACGTGGAGGGAGGCAGAAGAATGTCATGCACGCAAAGAAGGGATCACTGATGCTAAACACAACAGACAAGGTGATTATGTACCACAGTGTTGACTCTGCCCGTTCATTATTGCTATTTAGTTGAGTTATTTAAGCAGCTACCTGGAGGTTAAGTAAGCACAGCAGCAGGAAGGGGAGAGGAGGAGAGAGGGCAGGGGGAAAAAAGAAAGTAAATTTTGCGTTCTGGTTTGTCACTTCATGGGCTCCACTGGCAACAAGCTAACCCATCCTAGGTAAATTTATTGTAATATTTGGAAGTATGAGAAGAACGAGCTGAGTCCAGCAGCCCTCTCCTCCCATGTCATGTTGTGATTGTCTGGAGGTGACAGGAGGGCTGGTGGTGTTTGTCCCCACTAGAGGCCTCAGAAGTAGATCTGCTCTTTTTCCTCCTGCTCTGCATTCTCAGAGGGAGATTTTTTTTTTAACTGTTGATGAAGTCCAAGAAGTGCCATGAGCTTCCTCCTTGCCTGGCCTGTCCCACTGCCAGGTGGAACCTGATCTGGGGTTTTCTGGAGTCTTTGCAATGTCCCCGCTGACTGACCCCACCAGGTGTCAGCCAGTTACTTCAGTTCTCTGGCTTTGCCTGGAGGAAGCTTCTCCCCATCTTCCCCATTAATGCTGGGAACGAAGCTCTTCTGAATTTGTCCACCTCCTGCTATAATCCATGTAATTCCATTTTCCAAGGCTTCTTGCAAACCTTTGTATCTCTCTTGGGCGCTGATGTGCAAATAGCTCAAGGTGGGGGTTCCACCTGGGGTCAGAGGGTTGGTGGTGTCTGTGCTGGGGGGACTTTCTGTGCATCCCTGTTTTCCCAGTGCTGGGTTCACAGCTGTTGTTCCTCACTGGTGGAAAAGAGGGGGCAGAAGCCAGGTGAGGCTCTGGGCCCATTAGTGGCAATTAGTGGCAGCCTCTGTTTTATCAGCTATAAAAGCCCAGCCCAGAGGCTCCCAGGTTTTTGTGGATGTCTTGTAGCAAAACTGAAGTTAAAAAAATCAAAACTACCAAAGGTAACAGAGGCCTATTCCTGATATTATTTATGGAATTATTAAGGAATTTTATAATGCATGATATTAATATTGCATGTTGCCATTTAAATTGTGTAAGGGTCAGTGCGTGCTTCTTCAGATTTGTGTGTCTTGAGATTTGTGCCCCTTCTGGAAGTACCACACCTCTTACCCTTTGTGGGTTACATTTGTAAGGACTAGAAAAGCAGTTTGTTCTATATTAAGGTAACTTACTTTTCTGTCACTATTTTCTATGCTTCCATTTCAAATTGATCTCATTCTTTAAAATGTGTTTCATCCATAGAGCACACTTCTTAAATTTCAGTCTATATTTTATCATTAGCTCTAGGAAGACCCATCTCAGATGTCATTTTACCTGCTGAGTTTTTTTCCCCCAGTTTCTCGCTTTAAATTTTGTGCTTTAGAGGCTGAAAAGGTCACACCAAGCTCAAGGGCAGTGCTGATGCTCAGCTGCAGGGGTGGTCATCCCTCCAAGCCTGGGGCTCTCATCCCAGCTCTGGGGTGCCACCCAAAAAGATTTAGAAACCTCAGTGCCAGCAAAAGATGCTGTTGCAAGGGAAACTCCACTCCTGTTTTGCTGCTGGGGGCTGGTGCCTGGGAGCAGGGCTGGCTGGAAAACATGACTCTGTGGGGCTGAGCTGGAAATCCTGTCCCACAGGGGCTGTGAGCACTGACCCAGCTCGTGGGTAACGCCGATCCCTCGCTGCTGGTGCTTTTGGTGGGAGCAAACGTACGCTCCTCTTGAAACGTGAACACTCTGCCTTTCCACAGTTTTAGCTTAAAGGATTCTCCCTGTTGTGCTGTCTCAGAGTCAAATTTCTCAGGCTGGTTGATTCTCTGTTTGTTTTGGTCTCCTCTGCTCTGGTAGGGCCTTCTCCTCACTTATTTATACCCCTGTAACTCCGGAGGTGCTCTCTGGAAAGAGCTGGAACAGGAGGTTCAAGGGAAGAATCAGGCCCAGGCTCTTTCTCAGGAGCTACCAGGAAAATGCCTGGGCTGTGCAGCTTTTGTAATTAAAAATGCATGAGCTCTCTTTTCTGTCTTTTTTTTTTTTTTTTTTAATGAATAGGACCCAAAGTATACCAAGCCTTGCTGTTTTTTTTTTTTTCTTTCTCTCTTTCCCCCCCCCGCCCCCCCCCCCCCCCTTCTTTTTAATGCTATTAGGTTTATATTTTATTCTGAATTGAAAAGAAAATTGTGGTTGTCTTGACTACTAAAAAAACCCATCCTACACACTGCTGGAGAGATGTGCAACAGAGAGGAGGGAATTTAGCTGTACTCAGCTTGTGTTGTTTTACAACTGCAGGTCTTGGAGCAGGTTTGGTTGAGATGCCAGCTCTCTTTAGCCTGAGCTGTGGTTTGCAACTTGCTGAGCCTTTGCTTACTGTGACGTGTTTTGATTTTCTCCAAACTCAGCCTTATGTACAACTAAAAATGTGTTTTATTTCTAGGCAATAGTATATGAAGGCCAAGACAAGAACCCAGAAATGTGCCGAGTTCTGCTCACGCATGAAATAATGTGCAGGTAAGAAATACCCCTCTTCCAGTTAATTAGTGATGAGAAGATGAATCTGTCTCCCAAAATCTAGGTTGAACCTACAGCTATTTTTGGACTTAAATTTATCTTTCTTGCATTAAACAATCCCAAAATAACACAGTTCGGTGTGTGTAATTAGCAGCAAGGTCTCAGTTGTCACACTAGTTTTCAATTATTTATAAAGAGTTATTCTTAACAGAATGCTGCTGGTTTTCATTTAGACACTGTAGCCCACAAAAGGTCTCCTCACCGAAATTAACAGTCTATTATAGTCTTGAAGCAATAAATGTCTCTGTCCCCAGTTCCCAACAAAAACTCCTTGGCAAAATGACCAAATAGTATTTTTTTTTTCTGGATGTGCATTAAGGAGTGAGGTCAGGAGGTTCTTATGTCCTGGTTGCTGCTCACATGGGGTCTCTCCTCGGCTGGAGTGGAGCAGCTTGAAACTTCTCTGTGCAAAAGATGTCATCTTCTTGATTTTCTTTAAACTTCCCCATGCAGATTTGGGTTTGCCCAGTGCTGTCTTGCCCCGCCTGGGGTTGGTGACTTTAATTCAGTCAAATATCTTCTCCCCCAAACTTCTGCAGCTGCTTCCTTCTCTGTTCTGGCTGGTTGAAGTAGGTGAAGCCTCCTCTACTTCCTTTTTACCACAGACCCCTTCTCCACCTCAGAGAGCTTGACCTCTCAGTCTCATTAAAGTTAGTGGGTGTTTTTTGCATGTCTGAAAAAGTCATTTGTTACATGTTATTCGATGGCAGAAAATAATTCCCTGGTGGAAGACGAGGCGTTCTTGCATAAGCTCATTGTTACAATCAGTTGTTTTAAGACTGTAAAAATGCCATTGCATGCGTTGTAACTTTTACAAAACACATTTACTAAAAAGGAGTAACTTGAGGGTAAAAACTAGTACCCACTTCTAAAAGAATAAACTTGGATGAGGGTTTCCTGGCAGGGGAGAATCTTTGACAAAATACTCAGATGGAAACTTCTCTGTTGGTTGATTTTTTTTTTTTTTCCCCTTAAATTCTTGGGATCTGCATGTTTTGTCCTCCACTGACAGCTCCTCCTGCTAAAACCCTGCTGGGGGGTAGCACCCCATGATGAAGGCAGAGGAGTTGCTCTCCTTGCCCTGCCAGCTTGGGTGAAACCCTGCACAGCCCCCACCTCGAATTCTTCCTTGCAGCAGGATTTTGGGGGATTTTAGTTTTCATGTCTTGCTTTTCTTGTCTGCTGTCTGCTTCTTTTGGGAAACCAAAAACATTGGTTTGCAGCTCCAGAACAACCAGCAGCTCCAAGAGGTGCCCGAGCCTCTGCTGCCATTGGGAGCCTCTGTTGCTTTGCTGAGGACTCCAGGCCACTTCTGCCTTTTCAAATGGAATCACCGTCATGTTGACAACTTGTAATTGTCCTAAAATTCATTGGCCCAATTAGCACGACTTTCACACTGGATACCTAGCTAGGAACAATTCATGGAAATATTAAAGGAGGCCCCTGACCTGATAAGACTCAAGTGCCTTTTACTTTTCTCCTGTAACAGGCCAGTAAAACAGTGGCACTGGGCATATGAGTAAAATTAAGGACAAGTTCAAGTGCCTGTAGTGTCAGGGTCTGAATCTGCCATTAGTCCTGGGTGATGTGTCCTCCTGATCCTTAACCAGCAAGGTTTGCTGGTAGGAATGACTCACTGAGCCAGAATCAACTACTTTAAAGAATTAATTTCCTTACAGATACTTCAGAAACATAAAGTGTAAGAAGTAAATGAAAACTTTATATAGTGGGCTGAGTTTTAACCAGAAGGCCAAATGCCCACATCACAGATTTATAGCCATTCAATATACTTTGACTGAGACAAAATTATTTCTGTTCTGGGAACGTGGAAAGATGCGCAGTCATTCCCTTTATTAAAGCACTTTGCACTTTCTTTGTTCTTAAAATTCACTGGCTCAGAAGCTTTATTCTTCTCCTATTTATTTCCTGCTAGCCCTTGCTTTGTGTTTCATGGCCATAAGGTGGAGGGGTAGAAAAAACCCAAACTGACTGTAGTAGGCAAATGTTGTGTTCCTGATGGGGTGGGGGAGACATATTCAAAATTCTTACAGCTCATATTAGATATTTCCCATTTCCTTTGCTGCCCATACGTGTGTAAGAGGGTGCTGTTTGTTTACCAGGCCGCTTGACCCTATTGCACAAATCTGTCATCTATTGTGCTGCTAACACGCTTTTAAATTGCAAATCTGATGCTCTTTAGGGGTCTAGAATGGGAAAAAATTCTCTCTCCACACCATTCTGTTTCTCTTGATTTCTTGCCTGTTGTAAGTGGAAGTTGGGATGTGCTGAATTTGCACCAGGGGTGCAAATGCAGCCTCAATTATAAGCATAAAATTAGAGTCTGTTCCCCATTAATCAGCCCAGCTAATTGCTATGCACTACCATTAGCCATATGGTGTGAAAGACAGCTTGCTCTCCCTAAGATGAAATTTCTTCATTTCAGACATGAAATAGTGAGGGCTCTGTATTTCAAAATAGCTTGTTTTAGATATTTAATTTCTAAACAACTTTCAGCAGTGCTTTCTATCAAGGCTAACTGCACAATAAAACTTTGCATTTATGTGACAAAGCTGGGTATTTATAGTGTACTACAGCTACGGCACAGAGGAGACAAAGAATTCAAATGTGTAAGAGAGTCCTGGCTGTGGTAGGAGAGCGAAGCTAAGGTTTGCTTCAGGTAGCTGTTTATTTCAAAGGATTTCATTGTGTTTTGTCAGATATAAAAATCTACACTGTTGGTGAAAATGTTAATAGCTGGGGAGAATTCACAACCTCAGTGGAATTTATTAGTATTGTAGGCAGCATGGGGAGGGACATCTATAGTTAATATTGCCTCAACAATTTCCATTATGAAACCTTCAGTGGCTTACAGCTTTGCCAAACTTAAACTGTTCTGGCTGAAATATCCTTTGCAGGGTGTCAGCCTCGGGCTGACTTTCTTTGGAAAGTTTCAGCTAAAATGGTTCAGTGATTTCTGAGAATGAGGTTGGAGTAAAATATGGGTTTTGTCTGTGTAAAATAAGATCTTACAGCTGTTTTGGCAAGGGGGTCCCACACCTCCACGCTGCAGGGTGAGAAGCCTGTTTGGGGCAGGGATGCCATGGATCCTGATGGCATCACTGGTGGGAGGGATCCCACCTCGATGGGACCTTGTGCCACATCTCCCCCCCATCCTGGCAGCCAAAGTCTCCTTGGTGCTGGCCAGGTGCCATGGGCCCCTAATTCCTCATTGTTCATTGTCCCTGGGATGCACAAAGCAGGGCTCCTGCACGGGGAACGCTCCGGCCATTGTGCCAGGCCGGGCACGGCAAGGGAGGCCCTGGGGTGAGCAGGCCTCGTCCTGAGGGCCTGGCTGAGATCCTCGGGCACGTGGAAGGGAAGAGGAGGAGGAGGAGGATGGGGAGCAAGGAGACAGGAGAGCAGCAGGTCCCCAGAGGGTTGGGGTGAGGAGAAAGGCAGCAATAAAAGCTGGGGGTGGTGGTGGCCTGGGGAGGAGCAGGATAGGGATGGTGAAGGGTTCAGGAATGAGCCATGAGGATGGCAACAACAGTGGGAGCTGGAAATGCTGGGAGGATGCTTTACTACAAAGGACTACTGGCTTCAAAAACAAGCAAACCCCACAAATAAATCAATTTTTGTAGGCTTTTCCTTTGGGCCAACATGGCATTGTGTCTGAGCCATGGCTCCTGGCCCCACCTGGGGAGAGGTGTCCTGGAAAAGCAGCAAAGATGAGTCCTTGTCCTCATGGCTGCACGGAGCTGGCACTCCCTGCTCTTGCACAGAGTCTTGCTGGGAGCTGGAGGGTTTCTGAGTGGTTTGGAGAAGCTCCTGGGAATTTTAAAATTCTTTCAGGGAAAGGAGAAAGGGTGCTGAATATTTAGGAACTTATTTCCAAGTGCTAAGTAGGCACTAAAAGCCAAAGCTTTTGAGGGAAATTGAATTAAAAGCACTTTTAACCAGGTCTGAAACTCAAGATCTGCATGATGTTTTAATTCTCTGCATAGAAAGACTAGAGTGAAGAGGCCTCCAATTCTGCTGTTGCAGGGAGGGGAAAAAACCACAAAAGGCAAACTAAATTCTAAAATATAATTCTCTAGATCATGGAGGAACATTCAGGGCCTCCTTTCATGCCAGAGAGCCACTTGATGGTGGGATGTGCCAGCCATGCAGCCCTTCCACATCACCCTTAGACTGTGGTCATGGAGTGAGGTCTCCACTATCACCTGGGACTATTGGGGTGCACTTTTGGGAGGGTACCCCAATTAAGGGGCCACCTGAGGAGCAGTGAAGTGTTTCCCCTGCTCTCAAAGCTGGGTTGCCCCCACTGGGCAGTGCCTGATGCTTGTGGCAGGAGGTGAGACCGAGGTGTCCCTGTCCCCATGACCCTGTGGCTGCCTCTCCCTCTGGGTTAATGCCCAGGAAGGTGCCAACCTCTGAGCCCTGTGGTGTGTGGATGCTGGTATTTGCCCATCTCATGCTGAGAGCCTGGGAACCTTTGCTTGCCTGAGTAAGTGTGGCAATTTCTGTCCCTCCAGTCTGCTGGGAGAATGTCAGGACTAGCCCTGATTCACTTCAGTCACAAGAACTGCATTGTCTTAACTTGTGCCAACTCTGTTTCTAATTACATTTTAATCATTTAAAAATGATTAGCAGTTTTTATTGCCTTGTTTGTGGGTAAATTTTCTCACCCCACACATTCTAGCTGCACTCCAATGACAAGTCCTTTTATAGGCAAAAAAGCCCCTGAACGTCCCCATGACTATTTACCTACAGCATATTTTATTCCTTCCTAAATTTTAATACTTTCAGGGTGCCAAGGCTCTGGCATTTTCTGGTGGATCAATTGTGGTATTGTGCTGTAAAATTAAGCAGTTTTTTTTGGCAATCCCAAACAATGTAACTTCCACTGAAATGAAGATACCGCACATGTGTTAACTGTGAAAAGTTTCAGCCCTGAATAGTTGCCTTGAAGCTTTTTGCGGTGAAAAGAATTATGTATTTTCCTCTCTTTGAAAACAAAATTATTATTTTTCTAAAAGCCGTGTTTAAACAGGCTGTTTTTGTAAAAGGCCCCTTTTTTGTTATCTTTAGTGTGGTTAGTTGCTTTATTGCTAATCTTGGTGGGTAACTGTATATTATTCACTCTATTGTTCAGCAACACAAGAGAACCTTTGTCATACTCCCAACAAGGCTATTTATATAGCATGGCACTGCTGAGGGCTTCTTCCTGCCCTGATGTTCTTCCACCTTCTGGGGAAAGGAAAATAGTTCATCTGAGAGGGAGAGTGAGCAGTGGTCCCTCCTGACAGCTGCTGAAATACAGGCGAGGTGCAGGTCTCCGGGATGCCACTGGGAACAAACTTAGTGGTTTCCAAAGATTTGGTTGTGTGTGGTTGAGGCTGGCCAGAATGTTTATTGAACATGAGATGTGCTCAGGTCTGGCCAGGGAGAGCAGCTGGGGTGGTCCTCACTGCCTGACACTTGGTGCCATCATGGGTGGAGTCCCTGCAGCCCTGCAGCTGCCCAGGCTTTGTCCAGCAGGTCCTGAGGGACCAAGATGGATTTGGGAAAGTCAGGGGCTTCTTGATTTTTAAATTTTTTTTTATTTCTTGAAGCCTTGACTTCAGTGGGGGATTTTCTGTTAAGGGACATCAGCAACCAGGATCTTTGCTTGTGAGATGGGGGTTTCCTCCCTGGGGTGAGTGGGTGGGTGAAATCTAAAGGCTTTGCTGACCTTTGTGGCTATGATTTGGCCTTGTGGGTTTAGATGGGCTGGTGGGAAGAGCAGGGCAGCTCCCTGCCACAGCTCCAGAGGCACCAGGAGGGATTCCCACCTGGAGCAGGAACATGTACCTCACCTACAAACTCACCAGCAATATATTTATACCTCCTTACTGACAACAACCCTTGACGAGGAATCATCAAAACCCACCAACTTAACTTCGCTTAGGAAACAATGAGCCACCTTAGCTCAAAAAGAATCCCAGCCTCGAGGTCAGCCTTGGAGCAGAGCTTTGGGAGACTGAGCTTATATTTCACATGCCTGCTTTGTATCTGACCTGACGCAGGGCAGCAGCCGCTGGAGCAGAGCTCTCCGTGGCATTAGTGATCATTAACATGCTCGGAAAACTTGGGGAAACAGGCGCGCTCGAGCATAAAAAGCTGCTGCTGCTGCTTGCATTTCAGCTCCCCCATTAACACCAGTGCTTCTTAGAGGGAGAATAATTGTGCTTTTGGAGTTTGGGGGGGAGGTTTGCCAGTAGCTGGGAATTGTGTGGAAGCAGGAATATCTTGTGGATGTGTAACACAAGCGTTAAGCAAATGTAAAAACCAGGCTCAGCAGGGAAAAATCTGCCTTATTTTGTGTGCCAGCGTCTGCGGGACAACTGTTAAACCCTGCGGAAAAGAGGCTACAAACAGGCAGCTCTCCCTGTTTTGGGCAATCCTTGAATTATTATTTGTGAAAGGGGCAAAACCCCTCTCTTTTTATATTTTCCGTTGCTAACCAGCTGTGCAAGAAGTTAAACACCATAATTAACCCATATGTGACCCAGTGCATTTGACTGATTTGCAGGCAGGGCCGGCAGGGTAACTCGAGCCGGCAATTTGAACCCAACATGTTCGTAATGATGATTTTACAGTGTAATGGTCGCACTAAATCCTTTCGCTTTTGCTCTGTAGCCGCTGTTGTGACAAGAAAAGCTGTGGCAACAGAAATGAGACTCCATCAGATCCAGTGATAATTGACAGGTAAGGACTGCTATTGTTTCCTTCCATTTTTTTTTTCCTCTTCCTCCCTCTCCTCATTATAATGAAACACCTGCCCCGTGTTGCTAATGGGGAAGAATTAGGAGGATATGCGGATGAAATTTTGGTTTTTTTGATACAGAATTAGTTGTGCTTGGCAGTTGTGATTGCCTTGGAAGGGCCATATGTGGGAAAATGTAGGGAGGGATACTGGAGCTCCCTGCTCTGTGGAGAGCTCCAGCTCTTGTAACTGATTCATGTGCATAAAGAGGAGATTTTTCTTTCTGACTTTCTGTGACTCAATTCACATGCTATGCCAGGGAAGCTTCAGGAATAAAATAATAATAGTTTGTGATTTATGAAATGTGGTTGGGTGCTTATAAATATTTAACTTTTATTTGAAAAATGTTTGAATCATTATCACTTAGCTACTGTAGTTCTGTTGGATGCAATCCATCTACATTTTAAGGCTTTTATTTATGCATAAAAACAGTTAAGAAAATAGATCTGCAATGTAAGGTTTTTTCCCTCCTCTTATTTTCTTTGGTTGGAATACTATTTTGACTGTATTGTCAGTTGATTAATTCATTTTTGCCTGTCTTAATTATTGTGTTTTTAAACAGATCCATATTGCTAATCTGACATCACTGAGTAAATCATTGTAGTACAATACATCTATTCCTGTTGTTCTGGGCCATGTGTAGTTTCTGTTGCTTGCCAATTATGCAAAATGGTAGCCAAAGAGCCATTTTTACATTTTTACTGTCCAAATGTGTTGTCCAAAGCCGTGTGGGATAGCCAGGGTATTGTGCAGCATTACTCCAGAGGAGTTAAATGGCCACCAAGCACCAAAAGCTGGGGAGAGCAACACCCTGCTCTGAGCTGTGAACAGAGGGACCCCAAACACACAGGGAGGAGGGCACAGAGCATTTGCCTCTCCTTGCATTGCTGCCTGAGTTATGTTTGCTGTATGAAGTTCTTAGAATCTTCCATGCCAGAGCATCCATTTTATGAAAGAAGGTCAGGTGGGTTTGATGCGTTGAGGGGCCCACTGGAGAGCAGTCCAGAGCTTTGTGCTCATCCCAGCTCCCAGTTCTTGGATGGGTTGGGTAGGAAAGTGCTTTTATTGGATGCTCATAGCAGATGTTTTGATTAGCTGTAATAAGTCATCCTGAGAATGTTTAAATCTCAGAAGATATCCCTATCTATTTTACTAGGCATATTTTCATCTTCTCTGAGCATCAGGTAGCACCAGAGGAAGTGTGTGTGGGGGAAAGCCCCCCAGTGAAACCTGTACAGAGCTGTGTTTTATAAGCATGCTGCAGAGCTGAACACTATAAACATGGTGTTAGAGTGGCATTTTGAGCAACATGAAAGCTACAAAATTCACATGAATTTTTCATTGTACTGGAAAGTGAGATGTTAAGATGCTAATGGCAGGTTTACAGAAATATTTTGTTTAACTATCTAGTATGCAAAACTGCCAGTTGCAGATAATTTTAAATTTTGAAAGCCAGAGATGCTGTCTGTTACATGCTTCCTGCAAAATGAGGAAAATAGGTACAGGAAAAAACCCCCAGCTTTAGCTTCCTAGCAGTGATCCATTTCTCAGTCTGTATGTGAATTGATGCAATAGTTACCAATTTTGAAGTTTCTTCTTAAAATGCAAGGTAAACACAATTCAAAGCTGATAACACAAACCCTGCCTCGCCACCCACACTGAATCACACTTGGCTTGTGAATGGGTTAAGCTTTTAAGTTCTTCACTTGGTTTTAAATTGTGACTTTGATACAGGAGGTTGATATGACTGTGGTTTGAATAACACTTGATTTTGACCTGTTCCTGTGGGTTGCAATGGCATAAGAAATTTGACTCAGCAGTACTGTAATTAGCCCTCCCTGTGTTTTTGAAACAGGATTGTGTTACCTGGATTGCATTAGTGTGGCTTCTATTGTTGCCGCTTCGCATCTGTCCCAGTAGGGTACTTAAAACCTTTTCTTGGCTGGGGCTAGTTCAAACAATTTAGGCCAAGCAAGTATGTGCTTTATACAGTTAGTAGCTTTTGTGATGTTTCTTGTGACATTTATCCTATTCATTTTTCTTGTCCCCTTTGGTTTGGAAAGGATGAAGTGATTTATACGGAGCCTTTTTACCTGAAAACGAGTCCTGTAAAATTGTTCTGTGATTAAAACGCCTGCACAAGTCAGGCCATGTGTTTGGTTGTGCTCCATTGTCACTTCTCCATGCACACAGTTTTTAACCATTATGTCAATTGGTATGCAAAGCCTTATTTAGTTATTTTTATTTGCACTGAGCTTAGAGAACTCATTTACCATTTGGGCTAAAGCACTCCCACATGCCTGATGCTCTGATCAAGACTTTGCCTATGGATTTAATCTAACTCTTGCATCAAATCTTGTGAATCCACAGACTCTGACCTAACATAGAGTTTAACATAGAATCTATCCATGGGATTTTTGACATATGTACTTACATGGAAATGTTATCCTCTTCTGACAAGTTGGAATACTATTTGGGATTGATTAATTCTCTTTGATGAGGCTGGAGGGACTCGGGATAGAGAGGGCTCTGGCTTTGTGATGGTTTGGTGAACTTGGAGAAAAGGCTCTTTGGCAACTTCAAAGTTACATGTGCTGTATTCTCCTTCAAACCCTGGATATGTGTGAAATCAAATTGTATATTTCTCTTTAATGAAAATGTGGGTTTTAAGAAAGAAAGTCTGTAGCTGTGTTTGAAAAGGGATATGACTTTATCCTTTATAAAATTGTTTTATACTTTGCTCTATTATAGTATCAGCAGATACAGCAGTGAAAGGGATTGAAAGAAATTTATACTCATATAAAACAGTGATTTAAATTTTCTCTGGAGAACAAAATTAGTTTATTATGATTACAGAGCAGTCATCCCAAGGAAGTTTCTTGGAAACCTGTGTGTGTCTGTATCATCTTCTTAGCATAGCCTGTATATTTTATTGCTAATCCAGTTACATGTGTTGAGATGAAGATCTGATGAACAGGAACTCATTTTAAAAGGGGTATTATTGTCACAATACAAATGCACAATTCCTCCTACGAGTGCAGTGGCAGGGCTGTATTGTAATCACACTTAAAGAAAACACAGAGCACTTCCTGTTATTAAATTAAATTCTAGATTGATTTAACTTTCAAATTGTTACTCATATTTGAATTTAAAAGGTTTGCAATAAAATTCCTGTGAAGAAATTGAATAAACTGTAGTTTTATTACCACTCTGGATATCCTGGTATCCTAACCTTTTTCCTTACAGTTATCTTAGTTCAATAAATAAAACCTCATTAGACTATTCCCATTTCAACGAGTTTATTAAATTTTACAGGAGTAATTAGCATAAGCTGTGCTAATTTTTCTGGAAGACTAATGAGAGAGCTTCCTAATTAGGTTTGCTTTGTGAGAATCAGAAAAGATGATAATGACAAAAGTCACATAGGGGAGAAAGTGGGGCTTTATGTTATTCCTTGGTTCAGGAAAAAGGCTCTTCTCTTGGCACTCTGTTCTAAACTTTTAAACCCAATTTACCATTGTCAAGACCGATATTTAATGGTGTTACCAGTGCCTGCTGGGGCTTCTTTACCTTTTATGGCTGCATCCAGTCAATAGGAGTCCTACTGACTGATAAAATAGGAATAGCCACTGCAACCCCAAATATAGTGGTAGAATATATATATGTACCATATATATATGTCCTGCTTGAGACATTGCATGGAAAAAGGGCTGAAACAGGCAGCTCCTGCTTTATCCCAAATTTTGCTTCTTCCCAGAGTACTTGAGCAGGCTGATGACAGTGACCTAGGACTGGCTTTGCTAATATTTACCAATAGAGGCAGACCCTGTAGTGAGAATCTGGCCACTGTCCATCTGTTGGGTTGAAAATCTTTAGGTGAGGTAGAAGTCAAGGAGCTTTGTGCTGGAGCTTCCCTGGGAGGAGCTGTAGGACCTTTGGGGGCAGGGGATGGCCAGGGCTTCCCCTAGCCCTGCTCTGGTAATACACTGAAGGTCTTCATGTGATATTTTGGATATTTGGATCATTGCTTTGGGAGCAATGAGGAGGTTTGTGCCTTTCCTGTGCCATCACAGCTCTTGTCCATGGAGCAGGGGTGGGGACTCATGGGTTGGAGGCTGTAATATTTCCTATACCTTGATATCAGATGACACCAAAGTACATTTTAATGCATGAGCTCCTACCAATGTCTGAAAGGCCTCTGTGCTTCCAACATGTGCAGGATGCTCATCTGGGCTCTCTGTAACTTGTCCCAGCACACCCAGCCAACTCACCTACAGATGGTTTGAAATCTTTCTGCCTGTAACCTGAAAAGTTTTATGTTTGTGGGTAGAATTTCACTCTGCAAGGACATGAAAAACTCATTACCTCTGTTTTACTGCTTTACAAGTCATCAGGTAGTGGATTGTATTTAACAAGCCTGATCATCTTTTCATCCTAAATACCAGGCAGGTGGAAAAGTGACTGGGAGGACTGTATCACACTCCCTGCATCCTCCCCACAAACGCACTGCTTAAGTAGATGTGGCAAATAATGCATTTTGCAGTAGCTTTCCATGTCTGGAGAGAGGGGAAAGGAGATGCAGGCAGAACCTGCCCTCCAGGAGAGGGGATGAGGTGGGTTTTGCTGAGGGATGCTTTGCTGCAGGGGAGGGGGTCAGTGCTGCAGCTGATCCCCACCAGCCTGCAGGGACGTGGGCTCGTCACAGCACTGTGGTGCAGCAAAGTGGCAGGAGATGCCAGGTGCTCTGGCAGTGGCTCCTTGGCAGGGGTGCAGGTTCCTGCCCTGTCCTGGTGCTATCCTTGTCCCCCTGACCGTGTCAGTACCAGAACCTGGCTGTGTGGGGTCAGGGGAAGCTGTGTCTGCCTCCCCTTGCTTGCACCTGGGATGGGCTGTGGGAGCCTGGGGGTCCCATCACTGCTGGCTCCTTGGGTGGCTTTTCCAC